CGACTCTTCTGATTCACTACAAAGCACTCTCTAAGCACGGCTCTTAGAGCTGATGCTTTTGCGCATGACACATTATCGAACGCTACGTTGTGTGTCATGGATACTGTTGACTCCAAATCTCCAGACCACTATGTTGATCTGAGACAGCAAGACCAAGACAAGACAAGACCAAGACCACGTAAAAGTGGTCTCGAGACCAAGACCGGTCTTGAGACATACAACTCTACTGACAGTATACTGTTTATGCTGTCTTTATACTAGACAGTAAATGTAAAATTTACAGTGACTTCTGATTTAAAATAATGAGGGCTTACATGTGAGCTTTAAATTTAAATGAACTTCTTTAAAGTTTATAATATAATGGTATTAGTTTTAGTGCTAGATTGAGGTTTTAGTTATTTATTTTGGAGTCATGTATCTCTCGGCATATGTCGTGTAAAAGTGTGCTTGACTGTGAGGATACTTGGGTCTTTTTCTTCTGGCTCACATCTATATTCTGTCTCTTTCTCTATAGCAGCGAGGAAAGGCTACTGCTGTTTCATCTAAAGACAAGACTACAGAACAAGACGTTAGTGCTTATGTATTTTTAAAAATTGTTTAAATGATTGTTTAAAATATCAGATTTTTAAAGTAATCTAATAAAACCTATCATTCTATATATTTCTCTTTAAATCCAGAGAGACTTTAGCACTACCGACAAGGATGTAGAGATCATACATTCCGACTCATCTCATACTCAAGCAACAGATGAAGAGAATACGGTGTGTTAGCTACTGTATATATATATATTTATAAATGATATACAATAAATTATCACATGAAGATGTTTGTAGCTCATCACTTCCTGTCTCCTAGGCTGGACCGTCAGATATCAGAGGAGGAAGTTCAGCCCATAAAATGGTAAAGCATCTCCAGTTTGAGCATTGTTTGGAAAGACAAGAACCCCTCATTCTGTTTACCTTTTAAAATCCAGAGACGATTAGTCGACATAGAAAACTGAAAAATACCATCTCAATATTATTAACATGCCTGATCTAAATTTGGCCACATTTACATTCAAATTGACCTCTCCAGTCCTTTTAGGGAGGAACCAAAAATAGCAGATAGCATGGTTTCAAGTGCAGGTCCTCATTCTGTTTTCCTGTTAAATCTTTAGAGCGATAACACCATCTGCAGTGATGGAAACACAGATTCTTACTCATCTGATGAAGATGAAGAAGACCCTATTGTATGTGAAGTAACAATAAGTGAAAGTGATTTTAAGGATATCAAAATGATGACATCAAGATGTTCATCAGCCATCCTTTTCTGACTCGCAGGCCAGTCATCTGTCAGGTGGAATAGCTGAGAGCAGAGGAGGAGATCCGGACCATGAAATGGTAAATATGCACATGCAGAAAGAAGTGCAATAATTACTTAGTTAAAACTAAAGCAAACCATCCAAATAATTAATTTAAAGAAGGAACCCACACCACAAACGCAATCAAGACGTCCAACTTCGGCTACGTTCACGCTGCAGACGAAAGCGCATCAAATCCGATTTTTTTGACCCTATGCGACCCATATCCGATCATG